GCTTGCAACCAAAAAATTATGAGACATACAAAGAAACAGGCAAGTGGCACCCATATACACAAAAACTACCTTTGAGAAGACACAGATGTTGGATTTAGCAGTCAAAATCTTCAAAGCAGCTATTATAAATACGTTCAAAGAACTAAAGGAAACCATGTTTATGAGTATAGATTAAAAATTGCTCAACAAAATTTTAGCAAACTGAAACCAGCAACATATAAAAGGGAGATTATATATTTTAACCAAGTAGGATTGGCCCCAGGAATGCAAGGGTGGCTTACATCTCAAATCAATTAATATAACATGCCATACCAATAGAATAAAGGACAAAATTATCTCAATGGACACAGAAAAAGCACTAAACAAAACCCAACACCCTTTAATAATAAAAATAGTCAACAAACTAGAAATAGATTGGAACTTCCTCAACCTGATAAAAGGCATCTACAAAAAAAAAAAATCTAGAGTAATCATCACTTTAATGGTAAAAGACTGAAAACTATTCATGTAAAAATGAAAATAAGTGAAGGATGTTCACCTTCTCTTTATTCAACAAGTTCTAGCTAAGGCAATCAGGTAACAAAAAAAAAAGTCATCCAGATTGAAAAAAAAAGATGGAAATCAATCTGTATTCTAAAATGGTATAATCTTGTATATTGGAAATTCTAAGAAATCCACAAAAACACTATTACAACTAATAAACAAGTTCAGCAAGCTTGTAGGATACAATGTATATGCAAAATTAATTGTATTTCTATACACTAGCATGAAAGAAAGGAAGGAAGAAAGAAAGAAAGAAGAAAGAAAAGATCCTGATGTTCAGGATGCCACCCTGAGGTTGTTTCAATAAGTGTGGGATGTCCACCCCCCCACTACCACCAAAATAGCTTCTTATAAAAGCTTTCAGAGTGATTCACAAGTGTAGTCAGAGCTAAAAGCTACTGGTGTCAGAACCATTTCCTGTACTTATAGGCTAGATCAAATTCTAAAACCTTATGAAACTAACACAACTTGAAGTAATTATTTTTCAGTTTTCAGGATTCCAGGCATCTAAAAGAGTAAAATTCTCATTTAGAATGATAGCATAAAAAATTCAAAAAGAAAAAAATGAAATTAAGAGAACAGTTCCACTTATAATAGCAACAGAAAGAATAAAATACTTAGGAGTAAAGTTAAAAGAAATGCAAAACTTAACACTATGGCAACTAGAAAGCATTGTTGAAAGAAATTAAAGACCTAAGTCAATGGAAGATATCTTGTGTTCATGGAACAGAAGGCTATATACTGTTGACATGACAATACTCCACATACTGGTCTATAGATTCATCAAAGGCTCTGTCAAAATCCCAACTCATAAGTCAATCCTAAAATTTATATGGAAATGTAAGGGACCCAGAATAGTCAAAACAATCTTGAAAAAGACAAAGTTGTAAAACTCCAATGTCCCTGTTCTAAAAGTTATTACAAAAGTAATGAAAACAGTGTGATTCTTGCATAAGGCCGGATATATAGATCAATGGAATAAAACTGAAAATTCAGAAATAAACCCTTAAATGTTGGCTACTTGATTTTGGACATGGTGCAAGACAATTACATGAGAGAAAAATAGGCTTTTCAACAAACGGTTCTGGGCCAACGGGATATCCATATGCAAATTTGGACTGCTTACTTATATTACACACAAAAAATTAACTAAGTTTGGATCATAAACCTAAATGTAAGAGTTTAAACTATAAAACTCTAAGAAGAAAAATAATTGCAAATCTTCATGGCCTTGGGTTAGGCTAGCAAAACCTTCTTAGACATGACTCCAAAACCATAGACAATAAAAACAAAATAATAGATACATCTGACTTAATCAAAATTTAAAACTTTTGTGCTGCAAATGATACCACCAAGAAAATGAAAAAACAATGCACAGAATAGGAGAAAATATTTGCAATCATCTGTAAGGGACTTGTTTCCAGAAAATATAAACAACTCTTACAACTCAATAAAAAGAGACAGATTACCCAATTTGAACATGGTCAAAGGATTTAAATAGACATTTCTCCAAAGGAAATATACAAATGGACAATAAAAACATGAAAAGATGCTCAACATCATTAGTCATTAGGGAAATGCAAATCAAAACCACAATGAGACCCCAGTTGCAGGTTCGATCCCAGTTGGGGCGCAAACAGGAGGCAACCGATTGATGTTTCTCTCTCACATGGATGTTCTCTCTCTCTCTCTTCCTCCCTCTCTCCCTCCACCCCTCCCTTTCTCTCTAAAAAATCAATAAACATATCCTGCAGTGATGATTAAAAAATAATAATAATAAATAAATAAAGTTATTTTTTAAAAACCCACAATGACATACACTTTCACAACCACTGGGATGACTATAATGAAGAATACAGGCAATAACAAGTGTTGACAAGGATGTAAAGAAGTTGGAACTTTCATGCACAGCTGGTACAAATATAAAATGGTGCAGTCACTCTGGAAAACAGTTTGGCATTCCCTTACGATGTTAAACATAGAGTTCTCATATGACTTAGCAATTCTACTCTCAGGTATATATCCAAGAGAATTAAAAACATGTTCCACACAAACACTTACACATGAGTGTTCATAGCATTATTAATGTGGAATACTCGTGCAATGAAATATTATTCAGCGATACATAGGAGTGCAGAAATTATATATAATACAATATGGAAGAAACTGGAAAACATTAAACTAAGTAAAAGAAGCCATAGGCAAAAGCCAAACATTGTAGGATTCCACTTATATAAAATGTCCAGAATAGGAACATCCATAGTGACAGAAAATACACTAGCAGTTGCTAGAGGCTAAGGAAAACAGGGAGTTACAGTTAATGTATGTGTAGTGTCTTTTGGGGGGATGAAAATGTTCGGGTATTAATGGTGATGACTGCATAACTTTGTGAATATACCAAAAACTATCAAATTGTACACTTTAAATGAATGAATCATATGGTATGTGAATTATATCTCAATAAGCTGTTAAAAAAAAACTGAAGTCATGCTTTCCCTGATAATCATAAGTAAAAGCTTTCATCATTCAGAAAAGGAAAATGTATTTATATGGTTGGATTGATGCAAATTATCAATATTTATAGATTCTTGTTGATGACAAAGTAAGCAATAAAGCTCTTCTGAAAAAAACAAAATAGTTTCCTTTAAAGCATGCTATGAGGCCAATAACGAAGGATTTTTCAAACTGCTAAAGAATAAGAATCCGAAATAAAAAGGTTTTCATGCCTTGTGTTTCTAAAGTCTCAGTTCCCATACAGCATACTTTTCCTTCTCTAGAATCAGTGGAATGTCAGGGACTACCTACAAGGACGGGTTCTTTCTAACCCTTTGTTAGCCAGTGTTAACAGAAAAAATGCTGACCGATGGATGGAAGGCTGGATGGATGGATGGATGGATGGATGGATGGATGGATGGATGGATGGATGGATGGATGGACTGAATTGGATAAATACTCGTGGTACACTTGTTCCATGCAATGGCAATATATAAGGGCCTAGATATAGGTGCCACGAAGGAAGAAAAGTCAGTCTTCCATCGTATCTTTTCAGTTTAGTTTCCTCCTTTATTACATTCATTTTTACATTTGTTACACCATTTAATTCTTTCCATAAAACAGGCTGTGCCGAGCAGGTAATCAAATTCTTGTTCCTAAAAAAGGCACCGGATAATCGAGATGACTAATGCAATTGGAAGGCAGAATTCATCATAGAAAAAAGGTCTAGATCGTGAGGGAGCCCAGTCATCTCCAGCGACTAGAGACGCGCAGGCTGGACTCAGGATTTCCACCCCGACGGTTCCCGGGGCGCAGCCCGGAGAAGGCGAGCAGGCGGGGCGCTCGGCACGCCAGGAACCTCAAGTCCCAGAATCCCCCGGGGACTCCAAATCCCAGAAACCCGCTCAGGAAATCTGCTCGAATCCCAAGTCGGCTGACCGCGGGCGCGACCAAGTGAGGGAACTAGGGTGAGACGCCGCGGCCCTCGTCCTCTGCCGTTTTCCCTCCGGGGAGGCGGCTTCTTAGAGAACTGCAGTTTCCAGAGCCTGCGCGTGCTCCCCGACGCGGTTCCACGGGAGGCCCTCTCTCGGCGTCCCTGACCTGATGGCTGGGGTCTCCCATCCGCTCGCCCCCTTCTCCTTGCCCTCCGTAAGAGTGGTTCAGCCGGGCATCGGGGCTCCTTGAGTCGGCGGCGTGCTTGCGCCCGCCCTCCCG